ATCCATGCTTGGCCCCTTTTTGACAGTGTCATGAAAGGGAAGGGGCATAGTCATTATCACATAAAGCCAGGGTGAATAGCGTTTTCACAACTATGGTGTCAGGAATAAATATTTGTATTCCTGACAATATAGTGTTCCTTTAATCAAATTAAGAGATCATTCTGGTCACCATAACAACTTAATCTAAATGAAAATGCTATGATGCAAGGAGGCCCCTGGGCACTCTCTTTCCTTTAAGGGGTGAAACTGCTCTCAAATGGGTTAACCTCAAAGGCTTCCTCCCGCTCCAGAGCTCCAGGTCGTTCAGTGGTATTCGGCTTCTGAAACGGAGTGTCAGAAAGTAAAGACATGGGCATGGGTCAGGCATGGGTGCCACTGATTGGCTAGAGGCTTCTTCTGCTCCTTTCTGCTTATTTCGTGCCCTTCTGCTCCTTTCTCTTTCTTATCCCTTTCTGCTCATTGCAGACCCTTCCTTCTCTTTGCAGACCCTTCCTTCTCCTTGCTGCCCCTTCCTGCTCCTTGCAGACCCTTCCTGCTTCTTGCTGCCTTTCCAGCTGCTTGCTGACCCTTTCTGTTCCTTCTCCTACTTTACCTTTGTGCTCCTTCTGATTCTTTCTGCCCCTTCCTTCTCCTTGCTGCCCCTTCTTTCTCCTTGCTGACCCCTCTTGCTCCTTGCAGACCCCTTCTGCTCCTTGTTGCCTCTTCCTACTCCTTGCTGACCCCTCTTGCTCCTTGCAGACCGTCCCTACCCCTTCCTGCTGACCCGTCCTACTCCTTGCTGACCCTTCTTGCTGCCTCTTCCTACTCCTTGCTGACCCCTCTTGCTCCTTGCAGACCCCTTCTGCTCCTTGTTGCCTCTTCCTACTCCTTGCTGACCCCTCTTGCTCCTTGCAGACCGTCCCTACCCCTTCCTGCTGACCCGTCCTACTCCTTGCTGACCCTTCTTGCTGCCTCTTCCTACTCCTTGCTGACCCATCTTGCTCCTTGCAGACCCTTCCTGCTACTTGCTGCCTCTTCCTACTCCTTGCTGACCCTTCCTGCTCCTTGCTGACCTCTCCTGCTCCTTGCTGCTCCTTTACCCTCCTTCTCCTTGCAAACCTTTCCTACCCCTTCCTGCTTCTTGCTGATCCCTTCTATTCCTTGCTGACCCCTCTTGCCCCTTGCAGAACCTTTCTGCTCATTTCTGCCCATTCTACTTTATCTTCATCTATGCTGTCTCCCCCATCCGCACTTACCTGATCTATACGCTGCCCCCATGCCTTACCTGATCTGTAGTTTGCCCCCCCCATTCCTCACTTACCTGATCTGTAGTCCACCCCCCCATTCCTCACTTACCTGATCTGTAGGCTGCTTCTGCAGGCTAGGGGTTGCTGGCTGCATGCTCCCCTGCAGATTCTGTCAGGAGAGAGAAGCAGGGTTAAGCTGTAGCTTCCTGCCTTTCTCCATTCACAGCACCACCTACTGGCCGGCATTGCAGTGTATTCTCTCACTGAAACCAAAAATAGCAGCAGAAGCTGAAAAAGTCCAGGGGTCAGGTCTCCCCCATTATCCCCCCCACGGACACCCATGGGTGTGTTGTGTCAATAACAGCACTGAGTTTAAGAAATTCAAAGGCCTTTCCCATCTCCAAGTGTTTAGACTGCGCAAGGACCTCCAGGAGTGAAGATGGATAATCTTCATTGCGTTGTTTTATTTTTTTAGCACTCTGTCATTTTTATTCTATTTTTAATAGTTGTGTCAGGATTTTTATTTTATTTTTTTATTAGGGTGAAGTGGTAGGTAGAATTTAAAATTGGGAGGGGTGGGTGGATACGGGCATGTCTACTGTATATATGGATATATAGCCCTCAGCCATCCAAGGGTGGGTTTAGGGGAGCAAGGCATGTTCCACATTTATATATTAAAACTAGGGGACATTGCTATTACTTTAGTGCCCAAGCTACAAACCACAGGGTAGGTCATGGAGCTTACCGCCATTGCTAAACTTTAGTACTTGGTAATTTTAGCAATTGGGCAGAAATGGCATGGTGGGTAGGAGCATAAGGGAGATTTAACCCCTTAAGGACTGGACTGTTTTTGCAATGTTGTGCATTTGTGACCAGGCCTCTTTTTACACTTTTGTGGTGTTTGTGTTTAGCTGTAATTTTCCGCTCTCTCATTTACTGTTCCTATACAAATTATATATTGTTTTTTTCAGGACAAAAAAAGGCTTTCTTTACATACCATTATTTATATACTCTCATGTAATTTAATTTAAAATAAAATAAAAAAAATAAGATGAAAAATTGAAAAAAATACATGTTTTTTGACTTTTACTTGAAAAATCTTTTACTCATCTACAAAAGCGAATAAAAAAAAACTGCTAAATAGATTCAAAATTTTGTCCTGAGTTTTAAAATACCCAGTGTTTACATGCTTTTTTTTTTTGCAAGTTATAGGGCTATAGATACAAGTAGGATATTGCGGTTTCAAAACATAAATTTTTTCAAATTTATCAATAGTGACATTGTAACATTATTATCTGTCATAAATCTCTGAATAACACCCCACATGTACATATTTTGTTTAAGGTAGACAACCCAGGGTATTCAATATGGGGTATGACCAGTTTTTTTTAGTAGCCACATAGTCGCAAACACTGGCAAACAGCGTTCATATTTGTTTGTGTGTGAAAAAAGTAAAAAAACTAAATTAATGGCTAATTTTGGCCAGTGTTTGTGACTAAGTGGCTACTAAAAAATAACTGGGCATACCCCATTTGCAATACCTTGGGTTGTCTTCTTTTGCAAATGGTATGGCATCACGGGGGTAATTCTCATTCCTGGGCTACTATACGCTCTCAAAGGCAACGTAACCAACCTGCCCATTTTCAATGTAAAAATATTTGACCCATATATTTGACCCTGTAACTTTCAAAAACGCTATAAAATCTGTACATGGGGGGTACTGTTATACTCAGGAGACTTTGCTGAACACAAATATTAGTGTTTAAAAACAGGAAAACGCTGTTTGTGTGTAAAATTACTTAATTATGTAAAAATATTACATAAATACGCACGTAGAATTTAAATATATATGCATATTTATATATTTGAAGTCTACGTGTATATTTATATAATTTATGTATTTTTGTATATGGACATATGTATATTTCGCATTATATTTATTTATATATACATAGATATATATACAATTTCATTCTAAGTATTTTGATATAAATATATTTTAATATCAAAATACAGTTAGAATAAAATTTCATTTAGATATATAATTTTTTTAATTTTTATTATTTTTAATTTAATCTACTTATTATTTGTATTTTATAATATATATAATATTTTTTTTAATTAAAATTAACTTTTATTTATTTTTATGATTTTACAGTTGCAGGGAGAATGCCTGTCAGCACAGACAGTCCCCCTGCAGGCAGACACATGGACACCTATTGTGACCATGTGACTGCTCTGTTGGGCGATCACATGGCCACAGGGGTCCTAACCCGCCATGGTGAGACTGTCTGGGCTGCAGGCAGTCTCCCCACACCGGGAGCACCGCCAATCGCCGCCGGGGGAACGACTGTGATCGGATAAGTACATAAAACCGTTAGGACAGTTCAGGACCATCACCGGTCGGCAATGGAAAAATGCTGATGACCGTCCTCGGTCGTTAAGAGGTTAAACGTTCCTATAATTAGATGAGGGCCATATTGACTTTTTATTGTGGCAGTTGGCTAGCAAACACGCAGCCGCCACTCCACTGCCCAAATAAAACAAAATACTGATCGGTAGATATGAAAACATGCATACATGGTACAGTGGGACCTCGTTAACAAACGCTTCTGTTAATTTTCGGTTTACAAATGAAAATCAATTGAAAATAATGCTTCGGTTTACAGATTTGTTTCACAATACAAAGCAAGTTTCCCCAGGATGCATTGCACCTGGGAGTTTTATATCACCGCCCCCTGCATGCTGGAGCCTGTGGGTAGCACATGGCTTTGAGTGTGGAAGTGTTGGAGCGGTTTTTGCATCAAGTTTTGGAGCCATTCTGGACAATTTTGCAGTTTTGGGACTTTTTGGTGCATTTCTCAAGCTGTGCAAAGGTAGAGAGCTGAGCTGCATCGTTTGCATGCTTTTTATTGTGTGTTCTGCGTTGTGGGTTGGTTTCCATGCCAGCAAATTTTGACTTTTTTCTGACCTCCAGAATGGATTAATTGGTTTCAAATGCATTCCTATGGGAAACCGCATTTCAGTTTACAAATTTTTTTTGCAATAAGAAACGTCCCGGAGAACGCATCATATTCGGAAACCGATGTCCCACTGTATATCTAAAAACAGAATACAAATGCTGCAGTTCTCGTTTGATGCCTTTGCAAGCCCTCCCCTTCTAATCTAAACCAGATTTTCTGACGCTGTACACTCTCAAACCTTTCAATGCAGCTCAATGAGAAGTCACAAGACATGCTCTGGGCAATTGCTGCCTCCTAAGTTTAGCTTAACTAGGCTAAACAACCAGAATAGGTTGTACAATTGAAAGCCAGGGAGTGTAAGATTGGTTCATGGAAAACTATGCCAGTAATACAATTAAGAAATACACGCCGTGCCAATCAGCATTTCCTTATAGAGATACATTGAACCCCATAGAGTTGTATTGATTCAATGCATCTCTATAAGGAAATGCTGATTGGAATGGCGTGTGTTTCTTCTTAATTGTATTACTGATATAGGCACCAATGTAAACACTGCCTTTTATATGAAAAGACAGCATTTACATTTAAACATCTGCAGGGACATGCTACAGCCACCAGACCCATTACATTAAGTTGTAGTTGTTCTGGTGACTATCGTGTCCCTTTAAACTTAAAATGACAATTTCTACTGAAATCTGCACTTCTTGTACAATTAAAAAAAAAAATAATAATAAAAAAAAAAAAGGAAACAAAGCATTTCAGCAAGCTAAAGTCTAGATGTGTTTTTTGTATTTTTTTTTTTTTTATAACTATTTGCCTGCTTGCTGGTATAACGCTTGCAAGTATTACACACAGTTTGTAAATTTTCCAGACTCTATACTTTAGAATTCAGATGCAAAAAGCACTGATTTGAAAAAAGAAACGGAATGCATCCATTTGAATTAGGCTGAGAGGACCTCATTTCAACTGGATTTGGCTTTAGCAAGTGAGTATTGCTAATCCATGGTTTCTGTAATATTTTGTATTGGTCTCATTTATTGTTACATTTCTCCCTTTGTATAGTATGTAATCTTGTAAAGCGCTGCAGAATACATTAGAGCTATATAAATACCAATAATAATAATTCAGTAATTTTCCCTGGATTTTGTCTATCTGGACAAAGTTCAGTGTTTACTGAATAACTGAGTCTACGTTTAAAATTGTGTAATTGTTCTGTAGATATTGCAGTTCTAAGAGATTATTAAATGCAATATGGATTATTCACAGTATTAGGAAAACAAATAGAGAAATAAAATAATTTGCCAAGAAGTTTTTAAAAAAACCAGAAGAGCGATTGCAAAAATAATCCCAGCACAAATCACAAAAGCATACATAAATAGATTTCATTACATACAATTTCACTGACTAATGTTCTCTAACCAAATTTACATTATATGTCTTGCGAATTTACTGGGAAAAAAAACACTTTTATTCATACCATATAAAAAAAAAAATCAAAAAAAATCAAATAAAACTGCAGATTTACATAGAATGAATTCTCGTCCAGTACATAATGCATTGTTTTCCACCAATGGAACAAGGTCCAAGTTTGCAGAACATATTAAGCAAAATCCTTTGTGGCCTTTAGGAAAATGATTTTAATGGCTAGCTATTTGAAAGCTCCCAAGTATTGAAAAGGCTTAAAACTTCTAATTAAACACAATAAATGAATGTCAGTCTTGGGGCTTGAGAATAGATGGTGCACTGTCAAACTAGATCAATGAATGGTAGCAGAGATGCTAATCATTAGTCATGGTCTGTGAGCCAATGAACAGAAGGGCAAAATGAATTGGATGTCCTGGGCAATAATAGAAAATGTCCTTTTGGGACGGCAGGTTAATAATCTTGGATATTTTCTTTATTCTCCCCGTCGTTCTGCTTAAATTGATGAATTTCATTCTCCATATGAACAATTGCTCGTTCTATCTCGTAGTTCTTACTCACAAGGGATACCCACCTAATAATAAAACAGAAAAATGATATGTTTTATACATATATTTAACATCATCAGTATACCATTCAGAGCAAAAGGGAATAAATAAATTCTCAAATTTAAAAATAATGCCAAAATAAATTGGGTTGTAAGCTGATGATTTTCTAAATCTCACACACACAAAAATATATATTATAGGTATATATTTATAAATAATTTGTTTTGCTGGCAGTTTCACTTACAGAATATATTCAATATAAGACCAAACACTGAACAAACATCATTTGCATTATTTGTTATGGGATACGATTTTGAAATTTTCCAAAGGCTGGCACCTGCCTCCTGTAGCCTATGAGAGCTCAGCATATTAAGAATGTGTTAGGCAAATAGTGGGACGCAGAGGACCAGGATGGAATCCACACCTGGGAAAACTAAAACAAAACAAACACCCATGTTGTTTAGGGCCTCCAAATGTGTACTCATAGATTGTGAGTGTGTGCTCCTGGATGCAATAAACATTTTTCTGCTGGTTTTTGTGTTTTGTGCTTTTGCCAACTTTGCCTTATATATTGTTCTTAAAGGTACACTATAGTCACCAGAACAACTACAGCTTAATGTAGTGGTTCTGGTGTGTATAGTATGTCCCTGCAGCCTTTTAATGTAAGCACTGCCTTTTCAGAGAAAAGGCAGTAATCAGATTGCTGCCTAGGGACACCTGCATCTCTTTGACGAGATGCTGATTGGTGCACTGAGTGTTTTGGCGTGTGCGCACATTAGCCTCCCAATGCTATCTTATGGGAAAGCATTGAATTGGCTGAGATAGTCAATTATGATGAGCTCAGCTAAGGAGGCCAGGTGTGGGCAGGGCCAGCACTGATGGACCCGTGTGGCCCTGGAATAAAGGTATGTTTAAACCCTATTTAAGGGGAGCAAGTGGGGCCGGCCAGCTTAAATGTTTTTTTTTGTTTGTTTTGTTTTTTTACACTACAGGGTCAGTAACACGTTTTATTCTTGACCCGATAGTGTTCCTTTAAACTCTATACGAAGCAATCAATATGGTCTGCTACAAGCCTTTTTTGAGTGTTCTCCTATAGGAACTAACAGGTTTTGTTGTATGAAATACTTTTAAAGGTGAAGTGCTGTCACACTCAACCACATACATTTCACCAGCTTACTGGTGGGACCATGGTTTGTTTTTTGACCTCAAAGCATTGCAGATGGTAATTTATTTAATTACTTTACAGGCATAACAGAATGCAAAGAAGTCAAGCAAGTGTAACATTTGTAGCCATACATACACATACACACACACTACATGGACAAAACTATTGAGACACCTGAACATTACACAAACAGTATTTTATGACATTGCATTCTAAATACATAGACATTAATATGTAGTTGGTCCCCCCCCTTTGCAGCTATAACAGCTTCCACTCTTCTGGGAAGGCTTTCCACGAGATTTAAGAGTGGTTTAGTGGGAACTATTGCCCATTCATCCAGTAGAGCATTTGTGAGGTCAGGCACTGAAGTTGGACAAAAAAAGAAAAATCTTTTTTGTATTTTCCGTTCCAGTTCATCCAAAGGTGTTCGATATGGTTAAGGTCAGGGCTCTGTGTTGGACAGTCAGGTTCTTCCACACCAAACTCATACAACCATGTCTTTATGGATTTTGTTTTGTGCACTGGGGCAAAGCCATGCTGGAATAGAGAAGGGCCTTCCCCATAAACTGTTCACACAAAATTGGAAGCATTGCATTGTCCAAAATGTCTTGGTATGTTGGAAGTAAGAGGCCTAACCCACCCCCTGAAAAATAGTCCTATACAATTATCCCTCCCATACCAAACTTTACAGTTGGCACAATACAGCCAGGCATCACTCTAGAGAACATGTTTCCACTGCTCCAGAGTCTAGCAGCGACATGCTTTACACCACTCGACCCGAGGCTTGGCATTGTATTTGGTGATGTGACGCTTGTATGCAGGTTATTGCAAATAAGTTGAGTTCACTGAGCTCTACATAACAACCCATTATTTTTAAATGTTTGACGGATCTAATTGAAACACCTGAAATCAGAAATTAAGAGGTGTGCCACAATACTTTTGTCAATGTAGTGCATGTAGATACAGAACTCCCATCCCAGAGTCAATAATTATATATTTAATTCATTCTTTAAAATTTTCCTAAATTACAGCGTTGTTCAACAGATTAGCATAAACAACTCAGATCACAATGAGAAAAATAGCCACTTACTTTGATTCCATCTCTCGCAGTTTTGCCCCTGATGTAAGTTGAGAGTTCTTCCTTTGCCAGTTCAAGTCTTGAATACGCTTCCTGGAAAAGAGAAGTTACAAAGTATTAGCTGCAGCAGCTAAAATGAGAAATGTTGCATGTCCTCAATGCTTTTCTACACAAATCATCTAAATGGATAATGAGATAGCTAGATGACATCATGGTGGACAGATCAGCCTTTGATAAAGTAAAGTTTACATTTAGTTTTCAAAGTTTTATTTTAAAAAACCAAAGCATTGCATTACTTCAAGGGAAAGTGTAGTGGTTTTAAAATCCCCTGGTGCTCTCCTTCCACTCAGTGTTATACCATTTTAATTTTTTTTTGTTAAAATTTATTAGTTTTGTTAAACGTGAGTTCCCAACAGCCCACCCTCTGCGCTTCTTGGGCTAGTTTTGTCTTACTGCTAGCCTGTGCATCAACGAGTGGCTGAGTGTGTCAGTTTTTAGCCCATCAATGCATCCCATTGCTAGTATGAATTGGTATGGCAAGAAGGAAGTGTGTTAACCACATCTACAGAAGGGCTGAGCTGTGTTAGCCAGAGATCTTTATTTAGTGTTAAATTGCTCGGAAACGGTTTAAATCCAAATGCTAAAACAGTGTCAGGACTACAGATTCTACAACGAATCCAGTAAATGCTTAGAAATATTTCTATGTTATGGCTGGAGTTGACACCGGGGCACACTAAAGACCAGGGAACTTGAGTGCTGGGCCATATATATATATATATATATATATATATATATATATATACACACACATACACACACACACACTTTTTCCTGTAGTATTCATTTTAAAGTCACATAAAGTATTTTGAAATGAACTTGGAAAAAAAAAAAATTGTAAATAAAAATCTCATTAATTTTCCCACAACACTACAGGGAGTGCAGAATTATTAGGCAAGTTGTATTTTTGAGGATTAATTTTATTATTGAACAACAACCATGTTCTCAATGAACCCAAAAACTCATTAATATCAAAGCTGAATATTTTTGGAAGTAGTTTTTAGTTTGTTTTTAGTTTTAGCTATGTTAGGGGGATATCTGTGTGTGCAGGTGACTATTACTGTGCATAATTATTAGGCAACTTAACAAAAAACAAATATATACCCATTTCAATTATTTATTATTACCAGTGAAACCAATATAACATCTCAACATTCACAAATATACATTTCTGACATTCAAAAACAAAACAAAAACAAATCAGTGACCAATATAGCCACCTTTCTTTGCAAGGACACTCAAAAGCCTGCCATCCATGGATTCTGTCAGTGTTTTGATCTGTTCACCATCAACATTGCGTGCAGCAGCAACCACAGCCTCCCAGACACTGTTCAGAGAGGTGTACTGTTTTCCCTCCTTGTAAATCTCACATTTGATGATGAACCACAGGTTCTCAATGGGGTTCAGATCAGGTGAACAAGGAGGCCATGTCATTAGATTTTCTTCTTTTATACCCTTTCTTGCCAGCCACGCTGTGGAGTACTTGGACGCGTGTGATGGAGCATTGTCCTGCATGAAAATCATGTTTTTCTTGAAGGATGCAGACTTCTTCCTGTACCACTGCTTGAAGAAGGTGTCTTCCAGGAACTGGCAGTAGGACTGGGAGTTGAGCTTGACTCCATCCTCAACCCGAAAAGGCCCCACAAGCTCATCTTTGATGATACCAGCCCAAACCAGTACTCCACCTCCACCTTGCTGGCGTCTGAGTCGGACTGGAGCTCTCTGCCCTTTACCAATCCAGCCACGGGCCCATCCATCTGGCCCATCAAGACTCACTCTCATTTCATCAGTCCATAAAACCTTAGAAAAATCAGTCTTGAGATATTTCTTGGCCCAGTCTTGACGTTTCAGCTTGTGTGTCTTGTTCAGTGGTGGTCGTCTTTCAGCCTTTCTTACCTTGGCCATGTCTCTCAGTATTGCACACCTTGTGCTTTTGGGCACTCCAGTGATGTTGCAGCTCTGAAATATGGCCAAACTGGTGGCAAGTGGCATCGTGGCAGCTGCACGCTTGACTTTTCTCAGTTCATGGGCAGTTATTTTGCGCCTTGGTTTTTCCACACGCTTCTTGCGACCCTGTTGACTATTTTGAATGAAACGCTTGATTGTTCGATGATCACGCTTCAGAAGCTTTGCAATTTTAAGAGTGCTGCATCCCTCTGCAAGATATCTCACTATTTTTGACTTTTCTGAGCCTGTCAAGTCCTTCTTTTGACCCATTTTGCCAAAGGAAAGGAAGTTGCCTAATAATTATGCACACCTGATATAGGGTGTTGATGTCATTAGACCACACCCCTTCTCATTACAGAGATGCACATCACCTAATATGCTTAATTGGTAGTAGGCTTTCAAGCCTATACAGCTTGGAGTAAGACAACATGCATAAAGAGGATGATGTGGTCAAAATACTCATTTGCCTAATAATTCTGCACTCCCTGTATATAACTTGCAGTGTTAATGCTTAACACTTTAACAACACTGTACAAATCCCCATGAGTCAACTCTCTATTGCATGGATACTTTATTACAAACAGACCTCCATGAATCTAGTAAAATATAAACTATTCACTAAATGCTTGTCTTATTAGGTATATTATCAACAGGTATATTCATACAGAGATACTTTAATGCTAGATATGCAATAATCTAATAAATATTTTTGTTAAATCTTCACACAAGAAAAACTAAACAATATTTGGGAAACTGAAAGCTAGGAGGACAAGCCACTCCCAACTGCTTTGCACATCGGAGCCAGAGAAGAGAAAAAAAAACAAAAAACACTTGCATATGTCTAAAAGTCTCCTATCACCCTTTCCTTTCAAACGGATGTCCACTCTTACTTCACATTACTCTGCTGCATTAAAGGGTTGCAAAAAAAAAAAAAAAAAGTGTTTTAATAAACAAATATTTTTTGGGTTGTACCAAAAAAAAAAAAAGCCTGATTATTTATATAGCGCCATCAGATTCCGTAGCGCTCCTTCAGTGAGGACACTCCCCCATACCTGCACCTACACCTACACCTCTGGCAGCAATCACAAATATCTCTAGATATACGAAGTGTATCATTTAAAAAGCTACGCAAACAAAATCCAAGCACCATGACTACTTCAAATCACTGAGGTGGTCATGGAACTTAGATGAAACCTTAAAAGTTTAACTTCAAATATTTTGGAGTTGCACTGATCTAATAATTGGACTTGAAACTGTATTATGATTAGTGTGCTGTAGAGCAGGGCCTGACAAATTTGCATAGAATCTAGGAGCCAGAGAAATCAACGCCACAAATACAATTCTTAAAGGGACACTATAGTCACCAGAACCACTACAGCTTAATGTAGTTGTTCTGAAGTCGATATCCTGTCCCTGAATGCTTTTCAATGTAAACACTGACTTTTCAGACAAAAGGCAGTGTTTACATTGCTGCCTGGTGACACCTCTAGTGACAGTCACTGAGACGGCTTCTAGAGGTGATTTCTGGGTCAGTGCGTCACACTGTGCAGTATCTACGTTAAAGTTCCCTATAGGGATGCATGGCTTCAATGTATCTCTATGAGAAGTTAAATTGGCGCAGTGGTATTTTGCCGTGCATGTGCAATAGCTTCCCAATGCTTTCCTATGGGGAAGCATTGGATTCGATAAGATCGCCAAAATTTAAATCTCAGTCGTGGAGGTGGGGCCAGCCGCGGCATCACCAGCACGGCGTGGGAAAAATGGTAAGTAAAAACACCTTTCCCATGTGATTGGAGGGAACACACACAAACACACACAGAGAGAGACACTCACACATACATACACACACAGACAAACACTCACAGACACACTCACAAATAATTTTTATTTTAATGTAAATCCACCCAGTCTCCCTACCTTTGAAGAGCTGGAGGGGGATAGGCTTTCTCTGGGGTCCAGTGGGGCTGCTGTCATCTCCCCACTCAGCTCCCTCTCGCGCACTGTTTAGTGAGCGGAGGGCCAGAGTGATGTAATAGCCTGGCTCCTGGCATCACAATTAGGCGCGCGAGGGGGCAAAGCAGAGAGATTACAGCT